CCGGCCCCCCGGGGCAGCGGCTCCTGCGGGGAGGCTGTTTCTGGCTTCGAAACAGCCTTTTGCTGATAAACCTTAAACCACGAATTTTTCCCCCAAAAGCGGAGCATGAGGGGATGGAGGATCCTGAGCTCCTCACTGGGGTTTAACTAAACACCGGAGCTCCCCGCTCTGACTTCCCGCAGCTCCTGGGGATGAGGGAATGCCGTCTGCCCCGGGAGGCCGGGACCGGCGGGCGGGCAGTGACAGCGACCCGGGCGGGGGCCGGCAGCCTCCTCCCGCCGCAGCGGAGCGGAGCGGAGCGGGTCGGGTCGGGGGTGCCCCGCGGGCAGCGGCGTGCTCGGGAGGAAAAACCTTCGAGGTTTTCTCTAGCGGTTGTTTTTTTATTATTGCGAGGGTCTCCAAATGCTCGCTAAGCCGCGGCTCAGCCCCCGTCCCCGCCGGGGCTGCGGGGCTCCCCGGGTCCCGGAGCGGGAGCGAGCGCTGCTGAGGGCCGGGGCCGCGGCGCTCCGCGTCCTGCCCCGTTCTTATCGGTATTATTTTTTAAACTGCTATTTTTTTTTTGGGTGATTTCACCGAAATTTCCTTCCCTCTCAGCAGAAAGGTTTGGGGAGGTCGGCGGTGCCGTTGTGCTGCTTCGGGGCACTTTCAGCGTTTTTCAGTCATTAATAACCGTTCCGATGCCGTTAACGGTTTTCTTTGAAGAGGGGACCTTTCCGAAGGCGGTTTTAAAGTAGGGACTGGATCTCCAAATTGCCTTCGAGCAAATACAGCGAGTGGCACCCGTTAGAAAGAGACCCGTCTGGGCAGCGGGCGCCGAGCAGCCCCCCCGCCCGGCGCAGGCAGCGGCCGCGGCGCGGGGTCCCCCCCGCCGGCACCGGCGATGCTGACGGAAAACCGCAACGAAAATCGCTGCGGGCTCCGGGGGACGCCCCCGGCTCCCGGGCGGCTGCTTTGGGGGGCGGGGGAGCTCCCAGACCGCGCTTCGCCCTCTCCTTTTTGCTGAAAAATAGGCGTTGGATTTGATTTTTTTTTTTCTTGCGGGAGCGGCAGCGCTGGGTGCGGGGCGGCCCCGCTCCCCCCAGCCAGGTTTGGATGCCTGGGCTGGGGCAGCGCTCGTGGCACATGCTGGGGGACAGCTCACCTCAGCCATGCCAGTGCCACTGCATTACCAGGCAGACGACAGCTGTGCCAAGCAGCACACATCTTGGACATGAGGCTCCAGCTCTGGATGAGATTGCTAAGGGACCAGATTCATTACTGGCCCCTGGCTGCTCTGATGGTACAAAATAGCCATAAATCCACCCAAAAGGATCCCTGGCAAACCCGGCTCGGGGGCCGCTCGCCTGGCCCCCGGGAGCCTCCCGGCGAGCCCGGGACAGCCGGGACCCGGTGCTTGGCAAAGGACAAATCTGACTCTTGAGATGGTTTGGTTTTGTTTTTTTTTTTGTATTTATTATTTGCTGCAGATGAAGCGTGTGTTTTTTGTTTTTTTTTTTAAAAGCAAAGCAGAAACCCCATCCTAACACGTGCGGGTCTTCGGAGCCAAGGCAGACGGGAAGGGGCAGCGGGATGCGCTCTGCATGGGGCGAACAGCGGCTTTTATCGCACCAGCGCTAATTCCCCGGGAGCCGGGGCTGCTCGCGGGCAGCCGGGGCTGGGGGCCGTCAGGTGTGGGGCCGACCGCGGGCACGGCACCGCTGCCCGATGCTGCGCGTGTTTTGGCCTGGTCTGTCCGACCTTCCCTTCCCCGTTCATGTGAGGGGCTGCGTAAGTGCTGGCGCTGCCGCGGCTCTGCGGCCTCGTGTGCGTTTTTAAGCAAACGCTGCTGTTTCCTGTGTCTTGTCAAATAATTGTATTTGGCATCCAGGGCTCCAGTGCTTCGAGGAGAACCAAATTAAAATTGGAGCTCATTGAGCAGAACATTGTGTTCCCGGGCGATGCGAGGGCTGCTCGCGGCCAAGCTCCCATGGCTGCGGTCGCAGGGAGGCCCGGCATGATCCTGGTGTGATTCCCGCTGTGACGCCCGTGGCTCCCTGCCTCACTGGGCAGCCCTTGGGCACGCGAGCATGGAGTCCCTGGCCCCGGCATGTGTCCGTGGCGGCTGGGACGGCAAAAGAGCTGTGCCGCGGGTGGGCCAGCACCTGCAGCCCGGCTGTGGCCCAGGTGGCCTCCGTTGCCCCTCGCCATCGTGCCCCGCTGGGGTGATGCTCCCGCTTGAGCACCGCCGTGGCTCAGCGTGGAGATGGACTCGCTGCGGCGACTCGCCGCTGGTCTGCTGTGCGATTTGGGATGGTGGCTGGAAGCCGCGGCTGACTCGGGGGCTGTGCTAGGGGCTTCCGACAGAGCGGGCCCAGGAGGGGATGGGGACATTTGGAGCCATGGCTCTGGGCGCGGCGCATCCCTTGCCTTGTCCCCGCAGGCGGGGATGGACAGCAGGGCTTGGGGAGCTGTGGCACCCGGGTATGAGCGGTGTGTGAGAGCCAGGACGCACCAGGGCGTCCTCCCGCCTCTGCTCTTCCTGCGCTCCAGATGTTGCGGCCACCCCTGGGGAGGTGGGATGAGTCTCTCTAGGATGACTCTCTCTGGGATGAGTCTTTCCTGGTAAAGTTGTTGGCATTTTCCATCTCCCGGTTCGAACCGTTGCGGAGAGCCAGCAGCATCTGCTCACTCGACCACAAACCATGCCCGTGGGGCGCGAGCTGATGGCTCTGGCAGATGCTGGTGATGCTCCGACTTGTGCTGCAGTGCTGGGCTGGAGGAAAGCCGCTGGCTCTGCGTCTCCCACTGCAGTGCGGCCCTGGCCCCATCCCTGTCCTCGCCAGGCAGGTAGCAGGAGCCACGGGGAGCCCCTCGCCTGGTGCTCCGCCGCCCCGAGTGGCCAGGGCTCTTTGGGCTATCGCTGCCCCGTGAGCTCAGTGAACTGAGGTCTGTTTTATTTTTGAGCCGTTATTTCCAGTGGTGACGGGTCGGGGCAGCCTCCTTGCAGGCGTTTCTCTCCCTGTTCCTGTGTCGCTGGCTGTCGCTGCAGTGGCAGTCCCTGCGGTGGTGGTGTCTGTGGGGTGACAGCGGGTGCCCGTGCCCAGCCCCGGCTCAGCCCAGTTTCTGTAAAACCCGATCGCTGCGGTTGGCGCTGGAGGCAGGTGTTGGCCACAAGCCGCGGGGGCCGGCATGGGGGGTGGGGGCGGCGGCTGCCTCT